CTTGTCATCGGCCTGCAGGGATGGCAGGTTGGGAAGAGAGATGAACTTGGCTGGCAAAGCTGGCAGCCTGAAAATGTGTCTCCTTCTTATGCTTTAAAAAATCTGTGTAAAAATGTTTTGCTCATAGTGCTCACCTATCCATTTATAATAAAGATTTGTACATTTTAAATTCTGTCTTTTAAAAAAAATTATAACTAAGTTATTCTATAAGTTAATCAATTATGAAATTGAAGCCGACACAGTAATATAGGAGGAACAGAAAGTCAAGTTTTGTAAGTTAGGACAGGAGTGAACTAGAGCTAAACGAAAAATATGATTTCTGGAAGAAATGGCATGAAAAACAAGAATATAATGCACTTCTAGGAAGAGCATTTTTTTTCCATGATTGAGACTCCTGTTGGCAGCTCTTTATTGATGTGAACACTGACCATACCTATTATATTATTGTGAAATTAAAGTCATCTCTTTTGTATAAATACAGTAAAAAATTGGACCTCAATTTTGATGTGTCACAAGATGTGTGACAAAATGCACTCACAATAACCAGTAAAGAGCTGCAAACCCCAAAGGGCATGAGCTGTGTGAGCTGGCACCAACTCTGGGATTTGGAAATTATTTTGTAATTATTTCTTTTTGGTCTCTGGAGTGTATGTTTCATGTATTTCTTCCTTTTTACCCAGAGTGTAGTTTTGCATGCGTGGTGACCACAAGAGAAGAAGGGCACTGTGGGAAGAGTGCTTGTGTGGTTGCCATTGTAATTTGATCAGTATCAGTAAACAGTATGTCTGAAAGCTATTCATACAAAAATAAACAGCTCTTTAGTAGCTGTTCTTCCAGTGCTCCAAGAAGGGAACAATTTATCCACAGGGGAGCAAGTGTATTGAGTACAAAAACAATGCATAGACGAATAACAAATTTTCTCCCAAGACACTGTCTTTTTGGGATCTGCCCCACCACCATCATATTAAAGCATCCAAAAAATTGACAGTGAAATAGTGATCACCAGTGATTTCAATAAAAATTTTTAAAACTTGGGCTCATCATGTGGAAAAATCAGGTGAAAATTAAGGGATTATCCTTGGGTTTAAGTTGGCAGAATAATCCAGGATGTAATGTTATCAGTCATCGACAAGCGGTCCTGGGTGCTTCCTCTGTGCCCGTCACCTCAGTCTTGTTTGTCCCTGGATTCACATGTCTCGTTCTCAGTCCTTGATACTAGAAACTGGGGAGTCACACTTGGATCTCACTTTTTTCTCTTTCTTTTTTTTTTTCTCTCTGCCTCATTTCATCATAATTTCACCTCCCATCCCTTTCTGACTTGTGTTTCTTCTTCTCTGTGTCTCGCGGTGCTGGTCCAGCTCCTGTCATCACTCACCTGAACTGCTTCACTGTCTCTTTATGTCTCCTCCTAACTAGAATCTTGTTGCCCTCAAATTCATCACCCAAACAGGCACTAGATGACAAAATGCAGGTGCCACAATGTCAGAGTACCCTTGTTTAAGACGCCAGAATGACACGTGGCGTATAAAACCTCTGTGATCCAGCCCGTGCTTTTGCGTCTCTACTCTACGTCTCATAGATTAACCAGTTTGAAAATATTTAGCATGGTGCCATCCATTATGGTAGCTCCATAATTTAGCATGGTGCCTTCAAAACATCAGAGGAGGCTAATAAATATTACACGTCCTAAATAATTCTTGAAGAGATTGGCCTCACTCCATGCCCACTGACACCACGCAGCCAGACTCAGACTTGTCTGGATGCTCTAGCAGCTTCCTCACTCTCCTTCCAATGCCCGACTCTTCCTCCTCTCCTTTGCTGAAAGCTACTTATCGCTCAGGTCTCAGTTTAAACATCCATCTCTTGATGCGGCAGTCCCTGACCCCCTTGACTGGGTTGAATTATTTTCCCCTGCATGATCATAGCCTTGTTCCACTGCCCTCATCACAATGGTAATTACTTGTTTAATGTCTGTGACTTCCTTGGAGAAGCTCTCCCCAGTCCCTTTGACAAGGGGAAGTATCGGCATTAAACGTTCTCACAGGTCACGGTGCCTCCCTTAGCATGCATCGCAGGTCAATAAGTATTTGTTGAGTTGAATTGAAAATACATCTCTAGTCTTCAAGGAACGCTGAGGTCTGGCTCTCGCAGGTCCCATATACTCCTAGCTAACTCTTTTAAGTCTCAGCTCACATGTCAGCAGCTCAGGGAGCTTTACTAATCAAACGTTGCCCCCTCCCCAGCTAGATTAGACCCCTGTTCTCAGTGCTCACCTGGCACCTCGTGCACGGCTCCATCGTGGCACTTACTAGAATGTATTACAGCGAGTTCTTTATGGGTCTGTCTTATTAGACAGTGATTTCTTTGAGATTAGGTTTGATGCCTTCTTTCGTTTTTTGGGGGGGAGGGGTGGTAATTAGGTTTATTTTTTTATTTAGCTGGAGGTACTGGGGATCGAACCTTTGACCTTGTGCATGCTAAGCATGCACTCTACCACAGAGCCATACCCTCCCCAGATTTGATGTCTTCTTCATGTTTTCTGTTCCAAAGGTACAGGGACCAACTTACATAGACACTCAATGACTATTTATTGAATGAATGGATGGATGCATACATGTCAGCTAGGAATGAGATGACCTCTTGCTGCTAAGTAATGTACCCTCTCGAAGGGGAATGAGGGACATCTCAGTGGCAAACCTGCATGGACTGAAGACCCAGGGCCCTCTGGGCCCTCCTCACATACCTCCCCGCCCAGACCTCGACATTGTATGGACACAACCCTGAACTGGCTGAAATGTTTTTTAAGGAAACTATAAAATCAGTACTCAAAAGAGAATTTAAACTGAGTTATAAAAAGTAAAGTTACATTTATTCTAATCCTAAATGTGTAGGCTGAAAATTCTATCCATTAGATAAATACAGAGGTGTATAAATATATAGTCTACCTGTGACAGGTAGACTAATGGTCCCCCAAAGATGACGGTGTCACAATCCCCAGTGAATATGTTACTTTCTGTCACAGAAGGGGTTCTGCGGACGTGGTTAAGGCAGCGATCTCGGGATGGGGAGTTTATGCTGGATTATCTGGGCGGACCCCATGGAATCACAAGGGTCCTAATGTAAGGGAGGCAAGAAAGTCAGAGTCAGAGACGCAGAGATGCTGCACAGCTGGCATTGAGGATGGAGGAAGGGCCAGGAGCCAGGGCAGGCAGGAGGCCCCCCTCAGCTCGAAAATCCAAGGAGATCAATTCTCCCTCAGAGCCTCCGGAAAGAACACAGGCTTGCTAACACCTTGACTTTAGCCCAGTGAGGCTTCTGACCTGGAGAACTATAAATCTGTGTTGTTTTAAGCAGGTAAATTTTTGATAATGTGTTCCTGCAGCCATAAAAAAGTGCATACATGACATGTATGTAATACAGATTTGTATCTGTATTGTATCTGCTAGCACTCCAGTCCTGTCGCTGTTCCCTTGGGTTATAGATACAGAGGTGGTCATCTGTATATAATTCAAGAGAATCTGCTTTTATATAATGTATATAAATTCAAAAAATAATTGTCCGGGAGAGGAGGAGGAGTGTGGGAGTGTTTACATATACCACTTTATCTGTGACTATACTTCCCTCATGTCTACATTGTCAGTGTGGAGCTGGAGAGGATTCAAACGTCTTTTCTGAAAAAAAAAATTATTAATAAAGTTTTCAAAAATAAATTTTCTGGACCTAGTAGAATCATACGAGATTTTTAGCAACTTGGAATATTTTAATATTTAATATGAAACATACCCCAAGTCCCGTACACTGCCCCCGTGTCAGAATACTGGCTAATGAATGCAATGAATCTCCTTTTCATCTAAGGTACTTTATTTTTAAATAGTCAAAATATTTGTGATTATGTCTTTTCTATGACTTCAAAGTAGATTTCTTTGACCTTCTTTACTCATATTAAGGTAACATTGTTTTAAAAACAAAAATAATTACATTGGTAAATTTCCCTATTATAGCTGAACTATCATGATTGCTTTTATTGTAAAAAATAAAACCACCTTCCTCCCTGACAGCCAATCACATTCTTTCACAAAAAGATTTCCTCAAATTCTGCATAATTACACGGTACAGATTAAAGACAGCAAAGATAAGTCCCTTGGCATATTTACATAGTGATTAGTTGGCATGCTCAAATGACAAATGAAATACGCTTCAAATCACAACCAGACCGCATTACTTAATCATGGGTTGGGGGTATTGTTCTTTTTACTGGCATAATTGATTCCTTATTGTGTAACAAGAATTGTGCAGACAATTTATGTGAACCATTTATCATAACTTGCATCACATGTCATTTTTTCATATGCCCTTTCAGGAGGGTATGTGGTGAAGCCCACAGAAGACAAATATGAGAAGTGTGTTTTTTTTCATAGTTTTCTCAAAAAAGAAGTTAGTACTTGAAATATTAGTCTTTTAAAATATGTTGGGATTTTAGGTCAGAAAGTCTGAGGTTAATTTTATTTTTCCCCAAGGATTTATGATAAAAGAGAGAGAACTATCTCGATAATTTTCTTTTTGGTTTTATAACAATTGGATTTATAGCCTGAAATTATATTAAGGAAGAAACAGCCTTAAGGATTTAACCGAGAGAAATGAATGAAAGAACTGAAATTCAACTTAATTGATTTAATACGAGTGAGTCTAATCTTCCTTCTAGTATAGACCTCTTAAGGATAGGACCACATAGATAATTCCCAGATGCCATACAATATTCGTTTGTAATGACTATATTCAGTAGGATTATTAAGATTTAAGATATTCCCATGATATTCCAAACAAGTTACTAAAAACATAACATTCCAGGTGAAGAATATACCAGCAATCCCAAAAAGTGTTATATCCTATTAAATATTTTGATTAAATATTAATAGATGATAAGAAAAATGTACTCTGTGTCAAATATGTCTGAGAAATTCTTGATCTAAAATAGTGATGAGATATTTTCTTTACTACAGGACTTATCAGAGCCTTAAAATGAGTGCAGCAAATTTCCAAAAACAAAAAAGAGAGAGAGAAGAGATAATAACATGCAGCGCTTCGTCAGCTAGGAAGTCATCCTGGTTCTCTTCACTTCACAACCCTGACCTGCGTCAGGTAAGGGGCTTTAAGCTGAAACGACGGGAGTTTTATTCTTGCTTCCGACCAGGGGTTCTAGGTGTGGAGAAGATGCGTTGACTTGAATTGTGGATCTAAACTGAAACTAACTTTAGTGAGTTAGGGCCCTACCCGGCAGCATTCATTCACCCCTGTGTGGCATTAACCCCTGATTTTCAGAGGAATCTTCCTGTTTCAATCAGCCCTTAGTCAGCACATCAGTGAGGGCAGATTCCCACCCTTGCGTCATGGGGGTGGCCAGACACGGGACACCTGACACTGGTCAGAGGCAGTCGACCACTGTCTCTCAGTCCCGTCTACTCACAACCAGGGAGGAAGACACTGCAGGCCACACAGGGCCACAAGGAGACTGCCCCGGAGCAGAGTGAACAGTCCAGGGCGGTGCAGGGCAGGCAGTGCCAAGGGGCTTGGTGTCTCCAGAAGGTGGCGCCCCCCGATTCCTGCAGAAGGATATGATTCGCTTGTCTGAATAACTCCGCAGGCTGGTAGGGAGCTGAAATCCATGACTCGGGGCTAAGCGGGCACTGTACCCGGTCCTCTGGAGAAGGAAGGTGGTTTGCCGGGGTGACCTTATCTGCAGAGCAGAATTGGGGCGGGACCTTGTGGTTCAGCTGTGCAAGGCCCACCCGGTTTCAGATGTCAAGGCAGCACCTCATCTTGGGTGTAATTCAGACCCTGCACCGCACTCCCTTTCATCCGCACACACAGCAGGTGGTTTAGGGAAGGCTTATCCAACCCCTGGCCCCAGCCAAAGCCATGTGACCAAGGTTACATTGGTTGCAGCCCCCAGGCACAGAGATGAATTCAGGGATGAGCTCATCACCCTAGTCAGGCCAGTGAAAGTCAGGCTAAGGATCTTTTAATGGGACTTCGGGGAAGGAGATATGCTATTTTTCAGTGCAGCTACTAACAGAGAGAGTGATGGGAGCCCAGTGCTTGCAGGGACCACGATGCAGAGCCTGAGAATGAAGCCAGAACAAAGCAGGACCCAGAATCGGGACAGAACCAGCCACTGACCTCACCGGGTCTGTATCCAGTCAGGCCCCGCGCCTCCCTACCGCTGGCCTTTCTGGGCATGCGAAACACACCTTTTCCATTTTTGATTAAGCTGATTTGAGTTGAATTTTGTCACTTACAATGTTAATAGTTCTAACTGATGGATAAACTAATTCAAGTGAATGCCCGTAGAGCCATCCTGAGTGGTTTCAGTAAGAAGTACTTCACGATGTTACGTCTGGCAATATGTTTGAACTCGGCAATGCCCTCATTCATAACCTAAACTAAACCACAGCTTCCCTTTCGAAGTCACCTCATTGAATAGCTCTTCCTGCAATGTTACTGTTGCGCAAGACTGATCAGCATCTCCACTATGACGCAGTAGACAATCTTCAATGACCGTGTGCACAAAAATAAGAGCACGATGAGAAAGAAATGAAGGATAATTATTAACGAGTCGACGTTAGAAGGAAATTGATTTGATCTATTCAGAGTCAACTGGGAGATCTCCATCTATTTATAATTTGAACAAATATTACGAAAACCTTTTAAAGACCCCCGCATCTCAATAATATGAAATTAGAAATTAATTTTTAAGCTCTAAGCAAGCTGTGGTCAGTTTTCGTCAAAAAGAAGGATATGTTGTAAAAGTGAAGGGCGAATCAATGTGATGGCTATTGCTGGGCGAATAACTGGAACCTAAGTGAATCCCGTGTCAGAGCTTGTGTCTGCAACTTTTACTGTTTTCTCAAAGAAAACATTCGGGGAAATATCAACTCACTCTTTGATATTTTCATCCAGGTAGATTCTGCAACTCACAGCCCCTCAGCAGTGACTTGAAGCAGCAGAGCTGCTCTTAACATTTACACTTGCTTGATGAGAAAATGTTGAAATACTCACAAGTACACTTATTAAGTAAAAGAAATGGCGGTGCACACTGGCTGTCTCCAAATGTTGACAAACGACACACAGTTGAAGGAGGCAAACACTTTCAAAATGCTAAGTCGGGTATGAACAAAAAGGAAGCTCTGTAAGAAAAAAAAATGAAACCAGGTGCCTAGTATGTCTTCATACAGCCTCCTGATCTACACTTGTTTATCTATCGTAAGTGTATTTGATAAATACAAGAGGAAAATATGCTATCAGAAAGCAATTGAAATTGATTTGAATTTAGAGACTCACATTATCCATCACAGGGAGGCGGTGATAAGATGCCCCAGGGCACGAATTAGTCATTCCTGACCATTTGCCTCTGGTGACTCCAGGCGCAGAGGCAGTCACGTATGTAATGTATTTATCTGCTAATTTAGTCATTTACTTGATGGATACGAGGGAATTTCAGAGGAAGGTTATAATGATCCTGGCATATACTTTCCCAGCGTATCAGAAGACTTGCAATAAACGCAGCATATAAAACTTTTTAAATACATTGGAAGTACCGGAAGACGAATTCACTAATAGCACAATAAAAGCGTATCAAACAGGAGAGGAGTGTGATTTCTTTAAAGTGCTAAGTATAGGTGCAAGCAATATACTGAAGGTCATCTGAAAAGTCACAGTAGAAAGGAGATGTCTTCGAAATATTTGAAATGCACTTGGGTGGACCTGTACCTTCGTTTCTCTCACTTCATGCGTTTGAGCTCCAGGTGGTGGAGGCAGAACCGGCTGGGGGTGAAGACTTGGGATTTGGAAGGAATTTCTTCTCCCCTTTAAAGTCCATTTACAATCAACCCACTTTTGAACCATTTATCCCCCCTCTTCAGAATGGGAATTTCATAAAACATAGGAGGCCTTTTTTTCCTTCTTCTTTGAACAAAATTGTGGCTCGGTGGTATCCAGTAGGCACGTTTTAGAAAAATCCTCTGGCTTCATGAACTTTAAACAAGTATTTATAAGACAATATGTAAAGTGAAACTATCCCTGCTGCGTGTAGGTTAACTGGATTGTTTCAAGGACAGACCTGACGGGAAGGTACTGTTTACTGCTTAGAGCGCTGTATGTTTTTATTAAAACACATAGACAATATAAAAGAGTCAGCATCTTAGTAGTAACACTGCATTCCTTCGGTTGCTCTGAAAACAACTTATATTTTGTTATGGATAAGATTTACATGCTTAATTCTCTTGGATTAAGTATTATATTTTTCACAAGTAAGGCTGTTGTCAACATGGAATCAGAGCCAAGAGTCTCCCTGTACTTAAATGTAGAACAGTATTACTATGGTACAGATGAATGGCTTCCACCGGCTTAATAATGTTTAAGCTGCAAATAAATGCACATGCTGTGTCTATGGTTTGCAAATGCGAAGCAGGGGCTCCCTCTGCATAACCGTCTGGGCACTGCTTTTGTCTTTTAGTTTTTCATAATACAGATAATAAAACCAAATTTGCTTCAAAATCAGAAGTTGATCATTGGAACGTGAGGCTGATTACATGTAATACTGTATTTCCTAACTATTCATTAAATTTGAAATGATGGTAGTCACAGTCATACATGTGTTTTTGAGAAAATAATCTACTGTTAGGCAACAATGAAAAAAAGATATGTGAATATCTTAAATATTGTAATTGCAAATGAAAAAAATACAGACAAGTTATTAGGCTGAAGATGAATTGGAAATATCACTGGCTACTCTATCTTCATGTTGCACAGGGGGCCATCAAAGAGAGAAAATGCAAAACGATTTGAAAGGTGTTCTAACAATAAGAAAGGAACATTAGTTATGTCCTATACCTAATGTCGCCAACAAATGGATGACTTCTGTGGATGAATTACCCAGTGGTGTAGCTCTCCACATGCTCGCCCTCAACTCCAAAGGCAGAAGTTTTGTTTTCTCTGCTACAGCCCATCCCTGGATCCTACCAAGTTGGCAACATCCAATCCTGCTTACATTTTTCGTCTGCCTCCCTGCCCTGAGTTTCAAACTCAAAGCTGTGACGTCATCTCTCACCTTAGTGTCCAGCTTGCTGACCTGAACCACACCCTTTAGACTTGCAAGACTTACAATCACAAGAGTCAACATTCCTACATCAATCTCTCTCTCTCAGTCTCTCTCTCTGTCTTTCTGTCTTCTCAGGCTACCATAACAAAATACCGTAGGCTGTGACTTAAACAACAGAAATTTATTTCCCACAGTTCTGGAGGCTGGAAGTCCAAGATCAAGGTCCTAGCAGGGTTCAATTCCTGATAAGACACTCTTCCTTGCTCACAGATGGCGCCTACTTGCTGTGTCCTCTGATGATGGAGGGGAAGAGAGAGCCATCTCTCTCGAGTCTCATCTTAGAAGAACACTAACCCCATCATGCAGGCCCCACCCTCATGACTTTATTTGAACTAAATTACCCCCCAAAAGTCCCATCTCCAAATACCACTGTATTGGGGGTTAGGGCTTCAACATATGAATTTGGGGTGGGGGCTGGGGGAGCCACAACTCAGTCTGTAATGTTCTTTCTCTTCTCTATGTATCTATGTATCCATCCATCTATCCACCATCCATCTATCTATCTAGCTAGCTAGCTATCTACAGATACATAGCTTGTTATTCTCCAGAGAACGCTCACTAATACATTTTAGCATTCCTGGAAAATCTAAATTCCAAAATGGCTCTCTCTGACCAAATCCTACTCCAGATCACCGACTGTGTCACTGTCACTTCAGCTGTTCTCCACCTGCAGTAAGCCTTCCAGCCCCGGGGCCACTTTATTCTTGCAAAACCGTCAGCTTCCTTCTGGCTTCAGTTTCCATCCGCAGCTGAGCACTCAACGCTGCCACTGTAATTTCCTCAGAAGTTATTCCATCATTTCACCTCATCCTTCAAATCACTAAGGTTATCCATAGCTTTTATTTTACCCAGACAATCAGTACTCTTCTGTTCTGTAAGATCTTTGTGCCTTTTGACGCTGTGGATTCTCCTGATTACGCTGTGTCCCTCGACATGATTGCTGCCAACGTAAAGAGTGTGTAAGCATCACTTCCACCACAGG